CTGTTGCTGCTGCTGCTGCTGTTGCTGCTGCTGTTGCTGGTGCTGTTGGTGATGGTGCTGCCGGTGGATTTGCTGCTGCTGCAGTAAACAACAGAAAAAGAGTCAAAATAAAAAAAAAGAATCAGCAGCTAGCTGCAGCAGCAACCGTAATATGTTATGCTGCTGCTGTTGCTGCTGCTGTTGCTGTTGCAGCAGCAAGTCGCACATACCATAGCAGCAGCAGCAAGACAAATACATCACAGCAGCAGCAGCTAAAACACTTTAAATCAACAGGCTAGTGCAGAAACAAACACACGTCAAGCACTATGGTGCTGCTGCTGCTGCTGTTGCTGCAGCAGCAACATAATGACGATAGTAAAGGTAAGGTAGATAAAGAAGCAAGAGACACAAAAGAAGAGACAGCAAAACAAACTGCAGCTGCTGTTGCTACCGCTGCACTTGCTGCTGCTGCTGCTGCGGCCTGCTGGGTTGACTAGGGGATGCAGAGAGCTGCTACGGCGACGCAGCAGCACACAGCTGCAGCAGATGGTTGTTGCTGCTGTATTTGCTCCGCTGCTGCTGCTGATGCTGCTGCGCCGCCCTAGCCACTGCAGACACACCCTGCTGCTGCTGCTGCTACTGCTGCTGGTGCAGGTGCAACTAGCAGCACGTGTGCAGCAGCACTTCAAATTCACCCACAAGCAACAGCAGCAGCAGGAGCAGCAGCAGAAGCGACAACAGCAGCAGAAACAGCAGCAGGAGCAGCAGTGTAGGCCACAGGGCAGCGAGAGACGGGAGCCGCTGCTGCGGTTGAAGCAAAAGAGAGTAGCGGCAGCAGCAACAGTTGCAGCAGCAGGAGCAGCAGGAAGAGTTGCTGTCGTTGCTGCTGCTGCTGCTGCTGCTTCCTAAGGCGAGGATGCACAATCTGCTGCTGCTTTATTTACCTGTGTCCTGACTGCTGCGCAGCACCCGCCTGAGCACAGCTGCTGCAGAAGAGTAATGCTGTCTATTTGTTGTTGCTGCAGCAGCAAAAGCAAGATAAACAAAGAAGAGAGAGTAAGATTTCTTTTCCTATGCTTCAACACTAGCTGCTGCTGCTGCTGCCGCCGCTGTCGCTGCTGCTGCAGCTGGAACGCGAAGAGCAGGGGGCTGCAGAGCAGCGGGAGCAGCAGCAGCAGCAGCAGCAGGCGCTCCAGCAGCAGCAGCAGCACACAGCAGCAGCAAAAGGTTAATGCCTCTGCAGCAGCAAAAATAAAACAAAATTTTAACTGAAAAAATAAATCCAAAGAAGCACAGTTGTTCTTCTTGCTTTTATGTTTAACCGCTGCAGCAGCAGCAGCAGCAACTACTGCTGCGCTGCTGCTGCTGCTGCTGCTGCTGCTGCAGTTGCTGCTGCTGCTGCCGCCTCCTGGCTGGCTGCTCCCAGAGGGATCGAAGGCTCGAGGTAGCAGCAACGGGTTATTGTCTTACGTGTTGTTTGCTGTTATATTGTAGAATTAAATTATATTTTCTTTTGCTGCTACTGCAGGCTTGTGTCTTGCTGCTGCTGCTGCAGCTGCTGCTGCTGCTGCTGCTGCGGTCCATCCGCAACAGCTGCAGCAGCAGAAGCTGCTGCCGCGACAGCTGCGCAGCGACAACTAATAACCTGCAGCTCCCAGTCTAAGGGCTTGCTTGCTGCAGGCTTGCTGCGGGGCTGCAGCACTCATTGCTGCGGCTGCTGCTGCTGCTGTTGCTGCTGTTGCTGCAGTTGCGGCTGCTGCTTATACCGCCTCAGCGCTGCACACCAAGGCACTCCGCCTTCCATAGCAACTGCAGCAACAGCTGCAGCAGCAGCTGCTGCACCAGCAACATCTGCAGCAGCAGCACACCAGCTACAACTGCAACTGCAGCAACTGCAGCAGCAGCAGCAACAGCAGCAACACCAGCAGCACGATGTCCTGCCGAAGCCACCAAGGCGAGGAGGGGCAGCGGCCCCAACTTGCCTCATCACCAAGAGACATCAGCAGCAGCAGCTGCAGCAGCAGTTGCAGCAGCAGCAGTTGCAGCAGCAGTTCTAGCAGTAGCTGCAGCAGCAGGTACACCAGCAGTTGCAGCAGCAGCCGTAGCAGCAGCAGCACTCCCCACCGCAGCAAGCACATCAGCAGCAGCAGCAGCAGCTGCAGCTGCAGCTGCAGCAGCAGCAGCAGCAGCAAGCTCTTCAGCGAAGCAGCAGAAGCGCTGCTGGACGGCTGCGTAGGAGATGATGTCTTCTTGAAGCTGCTGCATGCAGAAGAAGCCGCAGCAGGTGTGTACATACAGCAGCAGCAGCAGCTGCAGCAACAACTGCTGCAGCAGCAGCAGCAACAACTGCTGCAGCAGCAGCAGCAACAACTGCTGCAGCAGCA